TACTTATAGTTTTTTTAATACATAGATACCTAATTAATAATTTATTTTAAATCATTACTATTCTTGTTTTAATAAATACATTGTTTTATCTATTTTTATGACCCAAACTGCACGCACAAAATAATTCTAGTATAGTAGTTCCATTTTGTCTGCAATAAAATATCGTCAGATGGCTCTCTTTTCCTGTGTATACTTATTATACTCTTTGTTATATATTGTCTATTGCGCAGCCTAACGGAGAACTGCAACCATGAACAAAGAAAAAAGAAACAAAAAAACATGTGTACAGTTCACCCGCGGTAAAAGTGAAACCTTCAAATAAAATGAAATATTTAGTAAAATTTTTGAAAATTAATTTTAGATCAGATGTTAAGTTTCTTTAATATTAATAAATTGCTCCATAAAAATCACTTCAGTTTTACAAGGGGTCGCTCGACAACTGACGCTGGAGTTGAGCTTATTAAACATATTTTTTGTGCATGGAAGAATTCAGAGGATGCTTTGGGTATATTTTGTGACCTTTCCAAGGCATTCGATTGCGTTCGCCATGAGACATTAATCAGGAAGCTACAGTAATATGGTGTCAAGAACACAGCGCTTAAACTTATTATTTCATATTTAAGTAATAGAATGCAGAAAGTTATTATCAATGGTAAAAGTTCTTCCGGGTCACATAAACTAATGGATGTCCCTCAGGGCTCCATTCTCGGCCCATTCCTATTTCTAGTGTATATTAATGGCTTACCTTCTCTTGTAGGAGATAATCATGATATAGTATTATTTGCTGATGATACTTACTTCATTTTCGTAAGTTAATAATCTGCATTTAAACAGAAATAATACTACATGTATTAAATTTACAAAAACGAATGTTCAAAATCTAAAAACCAATGTGTTTTTAAATGGGAAAAAACTGAGCCCTGTTGAATCTACTGTTTTTCTTGGCATCACTCTCGACGCAAAGCTTCAGTGTGGCCCCCATATATCCAAACTAGCAAGTAGACTAAGTTCTGCAGCCTATGCTGTAAAAAAGATTAGAGGTCTCACTAGTGTCGAGACAGCTAGATTAGTTTATTTCAGTTTTTCCATAGCATAATGTCTTATGGGATTTTGCTATGGGGAAATGCGGCTGTTTCAGAAACTATTTTGGATTTTACAGAAGAGGGCCATTGTAGCTATTTACAACCTAAATTATATATATATATTAATTTTGGCCTCTCAGTATATTTACGAAAATTTAATGAATATTCACAAAAACAAAGGTACTTTTAGTAAAAAAAAAAAATGATGTACATTCTGTAAACACTAGGAACAAACACAAGCTAGGGATTTTCGGCGGGAAGTCAAGCTAAGCGGGTGTTTTAATTTTTGCTGAATTTTCATTTCTTTTTATTTTGTATATTTTTTGTAAATTTCCGTGTAAATAGTTAATTAGTACATACCTATATATAGTGTAAATACAATGGGTCCAGATTCCGACGGGGGCCCGGCCCCCGCCGAGCAAGAATCAAAGAAAAGGAAATTGCATGATACTCGCAAAGGAAATGCCGTCGACTACAAAATTTTCACAAAAACAAATTACACGCGACAATTCCCAGAAAACCACAGCGTAGACTGCGTAGTCTACGTTGAATCACAAGAAAACGAAAAAATCGGTAACAAAAATCCAATAGCACTTACAAAGTTATTTACGGAAAATGTAAAAGGAATCGCTGGCGTCCACAGAGTGAACGCATATAAAGTGGGCATAACGTTCAGAAAACCAGCACCGGCCAATAACTTCCTTACCATGACACACTTTCTAGGAAAACACAAATTGAAAGCGTTCGTGCCGGCGCACCTCACTGAAATTACTGGAGTCATAAGATACGTACCTAAAGACTTAAGCAATGAAGACATATACAAAAGCATTACCTGCGATGCAGAAGTCATCTCCGTCAAGAGATTTATGCGAAAGGTAGATGGAAAGCTCACTCCGCTGGGGACCATTGCAGTGACCTTCGCTGCAACAGCGCTGCCGCAGCACGCCTACATACAGATGTTCAGATACCCGGTCCACATATACATACCTCCGTTACTACAGTGCTACAAATGCCTGAAGTTTAATCACTCTGCAAAAGTCTGCCGAGGTTCTCAAAGGTGTTCTTCGTGCTCTGGACAACACTCCTACAAAGAATGCGACGTCGAAGAAATTGTGTGCATCAACTGTCATGGTGGTCACTTGGCCATCTCTAGGAACTGTCCAGTGAAGCAACAAAAGATGGAAGAGAAGAAGAATAAGTATTTAAAACCAAACCGATCGTACGCCACTGTGGTGAGTATCCCAGCAATGCCCGACCCGAAAGCATTCCCAAACCTTAAACCTGTAAAGACTGTTGATACTGACATAAATAAAGTATCATATAATGCTGAGCAAATACTAAACAACGAGTTAATTATTAATGCGCTAGTCAAATCATTAGTTATGCTTGGCAATGACAAGAGCAGCGCTCCGATTACAAATAAAAGAATTAAAGACATACTTTTAAGTAATTTAATAACATAATGGATACATATTTGAATATAGCACAATATAACATACAGAGCTTACAGAGCAAAAGGGCCTTACTTAAAAAATTTCTTTCGGAACAACATATAGATATCTGTCTCTTAAATGAAACCTGGCTTAAAACAACTAGTACAATTCCCGATTTTTCACCCTATAATTTTATACACAAAAACTCAGTAAATGAACATAACGGAGTAGGTATATTAATTAAACAAAACTTAAAATACACTATTGTAAATACAACTTTTTTCGAATCTGTGCAAAATATTTGCATTTCCGTAGACACAACTATGGGTAAGTTACATATTCTATGTGTATATTGTCCTCCCAATAGCAGCAGGTCTGCTACAAGCAAAATGAAAAAGGTGCTACTTGAAACTCCTAAGCCATGTCTTATTATGGGAGATTTTAATGCTCACCATATCCTGTTTGGATGTCAGACAAATAATAATAGAGGTAACAGTTTATATGCACTTATTGATGACTTTGACTTGTGTATTCTGAATGATGGTGACACAGCTACAACTGTCCAGTATCCTAACAGAAATCAGTCGGCAATAGATTTAGCTCTGGTTAGTTCCGCATTAGCTCCTCTTTGTGAATGGCACGTCCATGACGACCCGATGGGCAGTTACCACTACCCAACTGTGGTCGCTCTAAATGTGAAGCCTTCTGTATATGAAGTGCGTCCTGCAGAAGAAAAATACATTTATAATAAAGCAGATTGGTCTAAATATCAAGAACTATCAGAAACGAGATTTTGTAATTTAGAAATACATGGTACCGAACCTATTGATTTGTATAATAATTTTGTAAATATTTTGTATGATATTAGAGCAGAGACTGTTCCAAAGCAAACACCACAACAAACTTTAAGGGTAATGAGAAAACCTGCACCCTGGTGGAACCAAACATGTGATGATGCTGTTCGAATGTCTAAGGAGGCCCTCAAAGAGTATAGAAAATCGCCTAGTATTCCTAATTTCATTAACTACAAAAAACTTGATGCTCAAAAGAAAAGGATATTAAAAGAAGAAAGTATTAATTCATGGCACAATTTATGTACTAGTTTTAATAGAATGACACCTATTTCTCGAATATGGAACTACATGAAAAGGTTTAGAAGGATAGGTTCTTCTCATAACAGATATTTGGCTGATGATTGGATACCAAGCTTCTTAGACAACATAACAGACTCATCACAGTTAAATGAAGATTATTTGAATGATATTTTAGATCAATCTGTTGAAAATGAAAGTAACTCATTTCTCAATAGACCATTCACACTAAATGAATTGTACATAGCACTCAAAAGTAGGAAAGATACAACACCAGGGTTGGACAGCATACCATATATGTTAATAAAAAAATTACATCCTAATGCGCAAGAAATGTTATTAAATATTTATAATAAACTTTGGAATAATTTAGCTATACCAGAGTCATGGAAAACCCAATGTGTAATCCCCATTTTAAAGCCAAATAAAGCTGCTAATGATCCATCATCATACAGACCTATTTCTTTGACATCATGTTTAGGTAAGCTTTTTGAAAACATGTTAAAGTTGCGTCTAGATTATTTTGCTGAAACACAGGATAAACTACCTCACATACAATTTGGATTCAGAAAAGGCAGAAGTTGCTCTGAAAGCTTTGTATCTCTGATATCGGAACTTAAAAAGGCCAAACTTAGTCATTCTAATGTTATATGTGTATTTTTAGATGTTAAAGGTGCCTTTGACAATGTTAATATTGAATGCCTCATAAAAGTTTTGCATGAATTGAGCTTGCCAAGAAATGTATTAATCTGGATTTTAAATTTCTTGCATGATAGGACTCTTTTTGTTAAATTTAACAATAAACTACATGGACCTAGGCCTGTTAACAAAGGAACAATGCAGGGAGCGACACTTTCACCTTTGTTATATAATTTATACACATCTCAGATACTTAATTATGTAGATACATCACAAGTTAAAATATTACAGTTTGCAGACGACTTACTTTTATACAGTGAAAACCAGAATATAAATACAGCAATTAATAGAATTAATACTGCATTGGCACAATTGCATCTTTATTATTGCAACATTTTAAAATTAGAAATAAGTTCTGAGAAAAGTAAAGTTTTAGTATTCAGTAAAGACACATTTGTAAACTCTGGAATTAAAATTAACTATAATAATGATACAATTCCTATAGCCAATCATCATAAATTTTTAGGAGTTGTGCTAGATGATAAACTGAAATTTGATAAGCATATCAACTATATCTGTCAGAATGCCATGAAGAGCATAAACTAAGAAGCTTAGCAGGAACCTTTTGGGGGTCTGATCCAAAAACACTTAGCATGCTGTATAAAAGTATTGTAAGGAGTCACTTTGACTATAGCTCTCTAGCTTACATGAATATTAGTAGCACATTGTTAAGAAAATTGGATGTGATACAGAATATGGGTCTGAGAATAATCAGTGGAGCCATACGCACCACTCCTATTGTTTCTATGGAAGTTGAAAATTGCATACCTCCATTGTCCTTGCGGCGTTTGCAGTTAGCTGAAAGATTCTGTTTGAAGGAGTTGTCTTGTAACAATGATATTGTCCTGAGTAATATTTTATATCCTGCAGAAGTCTCCCAGTTAAATGGAACAGCCAACATCTCGGCTAATACTCTTATTTCGGGTACATTGCCTGAAATAACAACAATAACAACTTGTGTAAAGAATCAGACAAGAGATATGTACATCAGTAACAAGTGGCCTATTTACAAATGCCCATATGATACATTACTTAATTATCTTGATATAAAATGTCATTTAAATTCGGTTAGTACTAAGAATGAATTCTTAGAATTTTTAAATGAAAAGAAAGACTTTTACACTATATATACTGATGGCTCCAAGAGTGATCTTGTTAAAGCAGCATTTTATGACCCACAAATGAAAGTTATTAAATGTATTAAGTTGCCAAGTAATTGTAGTATTTTTACAGCAGAAAGTTGGGCTATATTAGCTGCTTTGTCGTATGTAAATACCAATGTAAATAGTGTAAATATCTTGATAGTTAGTGATTCTAAAAGTGTTTTATCTGCTTTATGTAACTGTAATTTAGTATATAAACAAAATTATATTTTGTATAAAATTAAGGATAAGCTGCAAACGATTGGAAAATGTATAGAATTCTTATGGGTTCCCTCACACAGTGGCATAGTCGGAAATGAGATAGTGGATCAGGCGACGCGGCAAGATCACCACGAAGACCAAACACAAGATTGTAAAGTCCCCTTCACAGATTATTATCAACACTTTAAAATCTTGTCAAAGAAACTGTGGAAGGATTACTGGAACATTACTACCGTGAATAAGGGAAAATGGTACGCAGAATTACAGCCAGACTTACCAACGATTCCGTGGTACAACCGCTTTAAATACACAGGCCGAAAGTTCATAACGACCATTAACCGCCTACGGTTTGGCCATTGCCTCGTCCCTGCACATCTGTACAGAATGAACATCGTAGCTGATGACAAATGCACACATTGCGCTCAACATAATGCAGACATAAACCACATAATTTTCCAGTGCCCATCGTTTGGGATTCAAAGGTTGACACTTGTCAGTGAAATTAGTGATGTCGCTGAAGAAAATTCTATAAGTGTTCCCCGCCGCGTTCAGGATCTATTAACTGATGTAGCTTTTTTCATGCCTCTATTTAAATTTATACTTAATACTGTAGGAAAACTTTAATTATTTATGTGTCCTTAATTAATTGATAATGTTTGTAAATAGCTTCTTAGCTTATTTTGTAATTTAGTCTGTTCTATATTTATATAATAGGGAAAAAAAAAAGTAGAAAAATGATGGAAAACCATTCTAAATTGTTATTGCTAAAGTTAAATATTCTTAATTTGATGTATGATTTGTGTTATACTGTAATGTTTCCGACTGAAGGTCCTCGCAACCATGGTCACGAATAAATTAAAAAAAAAAACACAAGCTAGTGATACCAGTTTCTCGACACCATAGAGTCAGTAATTCATTCTTGGGGCAATGTATACGCTATTACAACAAGGTCCCGGAAAGTGTACAGGCTCTCTCTATTACCAAGTTTAAATATTTTGTTAAGTTGAAACAGTATAAAAAAGGTTATTACAGTATAAATGAATATATGGTTGATAATAACCCCTGGCAATGAGGTGGTCGCTTCCAAGCTGTTTCTAAAATAACTTTTGTACCAACCATTAATGTAAAATATGCTTTAAATAAAAAGTCCCGCTGGGTTTCTTGCTGGTTCTTCCCAGGACAGAGGTTTTTTAAACCAGTGGTAAAGTAAAAAATTACTTTCAATAAGAATTACACATGTGACCTATATTGAATAAAAAATTATTAAATATATAAATATAAATATATAAATATATAAATCTGAAATAAAAATATTTCACGGCAACTGATTTATTTAGATTCATACTTATATAGATATTTATTTATTAGAAATGATTTCAACCACAAGTGCGGCATAAAATATAAGATAAAAGTTTAATTTTATAGAAAACTAGCCGTTCCTCGTGACTTTACCCGCGCGTTATTTATTAGATTGGATTTCATGGGTTTTAATTTTTTGCGCTGAACCCTAATTCTTTTTCTAAAATAATAGTAGCCTACGTTACTTCTTATAACATCAGCTATCTGCCAGTGAAAGTCCATTCAAAATCGGCTAAGCCGTTTAGGAGATAAGCCGGAATAAACAGACTGACAGACAGACAGAAAGACAGACAAAAAATTTAAAACTCGTGTTTTTGTTATAAGTACCGCATATACATATAGTAAAAAGCTGTTATTTCGACATTACAAATAGACACTTCAATTTTATTTATTTGTGTAAATAAATGTTTTAAATCTTTATTTTGTTTCTATAAAATTTAATTTATAGAAACAAATAATAAAAATAGTAATAAACCAAAAAGTTATCTTCTTTCAAATAAGCTAAAAGTTGCTTTGTAATAGCGCCATCTACTTCATTCTATATGTAAAGTCATTTTATCGAACAAAAATGAGGGCATCTACGACTTTTTCTGCCATCTGTGCGGCGCCACTTAAAAGTGAGGTATAATATTTGACAGATTTCATAGTGGGAAAGTTAATTTGTTCGGAAAATGTAAAGATTAATGTTTTTTCTGTACTATTACCTATATTTTATATTAATAAGAATAAAAATAAATAAACCAAACCACAGCTGTACATTAAAGTAGAAAAATAAAAAAAGTTAAATTCTGCTAAAAAGTAAGGAGCAAACCTCTAATGCATTGTTTTGTGTATTAACATAATATTCTAGAAACTGATGAACTTTTATTTAAAACAAACATTTTTTTTATAGGAGAGCAAACGAGCATGCGGCTCACCTGATGGTAAGTGACTACCGCCGCCCATAAACAACTGCAACACCAGGGGAACCACGGGAATTGCAGTTGCGTTGCCGGCCTTTTAAAAAGGAGTATGGTCTATTATTGAAGGCCTCTAAGTCGTATCGGTCCGGCAAAGTCGCTGGTGGTATACTATTCCACAAGGAAGTTGTACGAGGAAGAAAACATCTTCTAAATCGCTTAGTGGTGGACCGCCAATCATCCAGATGGAGTGGATGGTATCGGGAGTTCTGCCGCGATGTGCGTTCGTGAAATTTGGCGGTTGGGATTAATCCGAACTATTCCTCAGAGCACTCCCCGTGGTAAATGCGAAAGAAAATGCAAAGGGATGCAACATATCTTTGCAGCGCCAATGAATCGAGCCGATCGGCAAGGACTCGGTCGTCGACGATTCGAGCCGCTCTGTGCTGGATGCGGTCAAGTATAAGGAGCTGGCACTGGGGTGCCCCAGCCCAGAGATGAGAACAGAATTCCATGTCAGGCCGAACCTGCGCCTTGTAAAGTTGCAGGCGTTGTGCCGGCATGAAATACTGTCCTGCTCTGCTAAGCATGCCAAGCTTTTTAGAGGCCAATTTAGCCTTCTCTTCCAAGTGACCACGAAACTGCACGTCACTCGATATGTCGACGCCGAGGATTCCGATACTGGCTGAGGCAACAAAGGGAGTGCCTTGAAACTGAGGAGATACGACAAAGGGGTTGTTTTTAGCGGTAAATGTGCATACTTGTGTCTTCTGAGGATTAAACTAGAGTAGATTTATTCACCCCCAACTCGAGACTTTGTTCAGCAAAGACTCGACTTCAGACACAAGTTTGTTCCGGTACTCGGCGACGTTTTCGTGAGAGATATTGGCACGGCCGGTGTATAGAGCATCACCAGTGCTGTCATCCGCATAGCAATGAATGTTACGAGTTTGCAACATATCATTGATATGCAGAAGAAACAGCGTTGGTGATAGCACACAGCCTTGTGGAACACCAGCGTTAATAGGCTTATCGGAGCATGTACCGTCTACAACGACCTTGATGCTCCGATATGCAAGGAAGCTGGTGATGCAATTGCACAATTTCTCGAGAAGCCCATAGGAAGGGAGCTGCGAAAGAAGCGCTTTGTGCCAGACCCGATCGAAGGCCTTCGCTATGTCCAAACTAATGGAAAACACCTCACCCTTGGACTCCACTGCCTCCGCCCATCTATGAGTTAGATAGAAGATTACCAGCTGAGCGACCTCAACGGAAACCGTACTGGCGGTCACTAATCAGATGGTGATCCTCAAGGTACCGCATGAGCTGGAAGTTTATAATGGATTCCATTATTTTGGAGAATAAGGAGGTGATGGCGATAGGCCTGTAGTTGGACGGGTCTGAGCGGTCGCCTTTTTTAGGAATCAGGTGGACAAAAGCTGTCTTCCATGATTTCGGTACTACGCCTTAAGAGTACTAGTATCGGAAAAGACGCGTTAGAACCGGTGCCAACTCCGGAGCACACGTCCTCAGCACAATTGGGGGGATTCCGTCAGGCCCACTCTACTTGTGGATGTCCAGGGAGAGGAGTGCTTTGCGGACCGAGCGCTGTGAGAATCGCACATCCAGCATGGAGCACTCACACTACGGGATGGTCGACGGTGGGTCTTCAAGAGTCAAGTTGGACCCAAAAAGGGAGCCTAAATGGTCGGCTTTCTCTTTTGTGGCGTGAGCCAGTGAGTCTTCCTCCCTGTGCAGAGATGGTTGTGATGGCTTACAGAAATTCCCTTGGACAGCCTTGGCTAGACACTAGAATGCACGGGTTCCCGAAGGAAGGCGAACTAGTTTCTCGCCAATTCTGCCTATGTGCTCTGACTTTCCCTTGGCAAAAACTCTTTTGAAGGACCTGGAGTCGAAGTTATACTTCTTTTTAAGCATGCTGATGTTTACATCCCGAGTCGCCGAAGCCGCAGCCCAGGCTTGATAACGCTCCTGCTTACTGCGTAATGCAGTCTTACAAGAGCGACCAAACCAAGTCTGAGATCTGCCTCCGATGGGTACCACAGATGATGGAATAAATAGTTCCATTCCCTGTATTACCACATCAGTGACAGAGTCAGCAACAGCGCTTGGATCATCCGGCGAGAAGCAAACCCGCCCCATGGGTAGGATGCAAAGAAAGACCGCATTCCGTCCCAATCCACTGACCTGTAAACGCCAAACACGCTGCCAAACACGGCGGCAACCTGCAGAACGCAACCGAGAGGGGAGCGTGAGTGGCACCACACTCCGGATTAGACAATGTTCCGAAGAGCCGAGAGGGGCATCAACGGAAACCTGATATCCGTCCGGATGAGAGGTCAGGGAAGGTGTATGATCCTCCACATCTGGAATCCGCGTAGGCGAAGTAACCAGTTGTGTCAGACCACATGCCAAGGTAAAGTCATAAACAGATTTTCCCGCATGATCGGTTAAACGTGAACCGAGCCATTCGGCCTGGTGGGCGTTAAAATCGCCTAGGATCACGATCTCTGCGGATGGGACCTGTGTGAACTTCTCAATTAAATGACATTGTGTAACAAAAAACTTTACCTCAGTGTCAACTAGCGACATCTGGTGAGCAGAAAATTATTAGCCCTCATTGCGAATTGATCCACTGGACTACTAAATCTTCTTCGGTGTCTGCTCTAGTATGTGGTTCGTTATATGTCATTGGATACTTTCGTCATTGACCGCCTTCAGGCGACATAAGCTGCTATCAAAATCTCTCCAAAACTGATTAGTGTGATGCATCAATATATTTTAGAGTTTTTAAGCACGTTATTTTGAATGTACATAAATTATTTCTTCTTACTTGACACTGGCAAAAGTATATCCTTTCGAGTCCGTCACCATAGAAAAAAAATGGTGAAGGATGAAGTTTCCGTCTTTGCCGTTTCCCGCGTTATTTCGTAACTGCCAAACTTCCAACAAAGGTATCAAAGTCAAACGTTTTATTTTGGAATTGTTCATTAAAATATTGAATTTATAGTAATTGGAATAATTGTTTAAAGTATTCTTCTTGCCTTTATTTCTTTATTTGTAGTTATTGCTAATCATAGTAAAAAATATATACTGTAAAATCAGAGTTAAATCGAGTCAATTTTGCCGCGATACTCGTCAGGTACAATGGTTGGAAAAAGTAATAAGTTATACGTCTACAAAAGGGGTAAGATTTGATTTTTACTACTTTATAAATGCCCTCATATGTGTTTTATACACACATATTTAGCTCAATATCATAAATAACGTTATCATTAACAGACTGCCGTATGTACACTGCTGAACATTAGCCATAGTTTCCACGCTTGGGGTTGGCTATAAAATATATTCTATACAGATAAAATTGTTGAAGACTAGTTGTTAAATCACTTGACCAATTGTATTTAGGAAAAAGAAAGTGTTTGATTTGCACAAAACATATATTACCAATTGAGTAAAGAAAAAAGTAGTTTTTCTTGGCTTAGCTAGTTTTGCGAAAGCTAGCATAGGTAAAGCAGAGATGTACTTGATTCTGTTGGGAAAAGTCATATCAGCATCAGTAGGTTGAGGTGCAGCTGGTGTGATCCTTGGGACACCCCAAAGCTGCAAACAACTAGTTCATCCTGTTAGGCAGAGGAAAACTAAGCCTAGGCACAACTAATTTGTCCTAAAATGGGGTTTGGCCGGTCATGTAATGCATTTGACAGCATATTTGCTCAAAACTAGTTTGAACGGGGATTTAATTTTAAAAAATGTGTATTTTTAAGCCTTCCCCTATGATATGGGTGCTCATTCCACTCTCCCGCTTCCATTTAAAATAAAATATAATATATAAAATGCTTCAAATTGCCTCTCAGTTATGAAATATTTAAATAGTTATTAAAAAATATGTATTTCTGAGGTGGGAGTTGTGGCAGGGTATTCCCCTCCTCCCGTAACCTCTGCTACACATTTCAATCTAAAGTCCTTTCGACGTGTTAAAATTAATCATACAATCCATTGGTGTTGTAAGAGGTAAAAATGAAAAATGCAATATTACAGCTTTTGATAGAAAGCGGTCTATCATTTTATGCCTGCAAAGTCAATGGTGCAAGGTGTTCTGCTTATCATCAATCTGCCTGACAAAAATGAAAAGAATAATCTCAAAATTTAGGTTGGTGAAGAAGAAGCTATTAGATATATCAAATGTTGGATATATTGATATCTAATATATAAAAATTTGTTTGTTTGTTCATATTTTATGTGCTACCATACCATGATTCATCAGATTGCAGTAAAACTTAGTCAACTTATAGGTATAGTACAATTAACTTACAGCAGGCGGTGCACATATTGCATCGACAAATTAATTTGAAAGATATATAATATATCATTCAATTTCAATGAATATATTGTCATTCCTAATTAAACAATACAACTTATCTAAATTTAAAGCAGTAACTCCCACAGTAATTTCTTCTGTGGCAGCAATGAGCTGGGTACCAGCTATTATATTATAAATATTTCATTTTTAGGTGGAAGGATGGAAGAGGTGCATATAGACAAAATAACATCAAGAATCAAGAAACTTTGCTATGGATTAAATATGGATTTCGTTGATCCTGTAAGTTAACATTAACATACATTTAAAGGTATAAAATAAAGTGCCCCTTATGATTCAGAGTATCTATTTAACCTTGACAGGTATCAATAACATTAAAAGTCATCAGTGGTATTTACTCAGGAGTAACAACAGTGGAATTAGACAACTTGGCTGCTGAAACAGCAGCTACTATGACTACGGATCATCCAGACTATGCTGTGCTAGCTGCAAGATTAGCCATATCTAATCTACACAAAGAAACTAAAAAACATTTTTCAGGTGAGTGTTTAAAGTAAAATGCAATAATATTACATTAAAAAAAATTACACTGTTGAGCCATAATATGTCGAAATTTTGCCATCCGAATGAAACATTTCAGCTTGTCATTGAATGCTGTGGTTATTGGACTATTCACTACACAACTTAGGCCTCCGGTCAAGTTGAAATTTTAAATTCATTAATTTTTTCTGATCATATTTGTTAATTGATTGCTGCCAGATTATTAGATTGACATTTGCACATAGTGGTATTTTGCATAAAGTTATTAGGTAACATGTTACTTGATATCCGTGCAGCATTACATTGCAAGTTATTGCTGTTTCATTTACTCTCGTCATAAATTCCATTTTCTACTGGAAGTTAATGCTGTCACATCTACTAGTGCTGTCGATCGAAACATTGATAGTGCCATTGCTGTCAGTAAAGCATTTCTCAGCTCTGTCGCTAATCTGTTACTTCAGGGGATGCAATTATTTATGCCATCATCTGTGGTGCCTATCGGAGGCAGAACTCAGCCATGGTTTGGTCACTCCTGTAAAATTGCATCACGCTATAAGCAGGAGTGCTACCAGACCTGGGCTGACGCATCAACATCCCGGGATGTGAACACCAGTACTCTTAAAAAGAAGAAAGAAGTATAATTCCGCCTCCAGGTCCTTCAAAAGTGACATTGGCAAGACAAAGTCAGAGCACATCGACAGAATTGGTGAGAAATTAGTTCGGCTCCCTTCGGGAACACATGCATTCTGGTCTCTCGCCAAGGCTGTCCAAGGAAATTGTGTCAGCCATTTCTGCACAGGGTGGATGACTCACTGGCCCATGACACAAAGGAGTAAGTTGATCTGTGCTAGGCTCTCGTTTTGCTTCCAACTCGACTCTAGATGATGGGGGAACACACCGCCGACCATCCCGCGGTGTGCTCTAACACTAGTATGTATGTAATGTAGTATGTAACACTGTGTAAACAGCACTTCCTGCATAGATGCAGGAAGTGCTGTTTACACAGTGCTCGGTGCGTAAAGCACTCCTCTCCCTGGACGTCAACAAGTCGAGTGGGCCTGATGAAGTCCCACCTATTGTGCTGAAGATGTGTGCTCCGTAGTTGGCACCGGTTTTAACGCGTCTTTTCCGGTACTCCACAAAAAGGCGACCGCTTAGATCCATCCAACTACAGGCCTATCGCTATCACCTCATTGTTCTCTAAAGTAATGGAAAGCATTATTAACTGCCAGCTCATGCGATACCTTGAAGATCACCAGCTGATTAGTGACCGCCAGTACGGTTTCCGTCGAGGTCGCTCAGCTGGTGATCTTCTACCTAACTCATAGATGGGCGGAGGCACTGGAGTCCAAGGAGGAGGCGTTTTCCATTAGTTTGGACATAGCGAAGGCCTTCGATCGGGTCTGACACAAAGCGCTTCTTTCGCAGCTCCCTTCCTAATGGCTTCCTGAGAAATTGTGCAATTGGATTGCCAGTTTTCTTACAGATCGGAGCATCAAGGTCGTAGTAGACGGTGCATGCTCCGATTACAAGTCCATTAACGCTGGTGTTCCACAAGGCTGTGTGCTATCACCAATGCTTTTTCTTCTGAATATCAATGATATGTTGCAAACCAGTAACATTTATTGCTATACAGATGTCAGCACTGTTGATGCTTTATACACCGGACGTGCCAATATTTCTCTGGAAAACGTCGCCGAGTACCGGAAAGAACTTGTTTCTGAAGTCGAGAATTTGTAGAACAAAGTCTTGGACTGGGAGTGACTCAATCTAGTCCAGGTCAATTCCCAGAAGACACAAGTTTGCGCGTTTACCACTAAAAAGAACCCCTTTGTCGTATTTCGTCAGTTTCAAGGCACTCCCCTTGTTGCCTCAGCCAGTATCGGAATTCTTGGCGTCGACATATCGAGTGACGTGCAATTTCGTGGTCACTTGTAAGAGAAGGCTGAATTGGCCTATAAAAAGCTTGGCATGCTCAATAGAACGGGACAGTATTTCATGCCGGCACACCGCTTGCAACTTTACAAGGCGCAGGTTCGGCCTCACATTGAATACTGTTCCTATCTCTGGGCAGGGGCTCCCAAGTGCCAGCTCCTTCCACTTGACCGCATCCAGCGCAGAGCGGTTCGAATCACCGACGACCGAGTTCTTTTCGATCGGCTTGACTTCCTGGCACTGTGTAGAGATGTTGCTTCTTTTTGCGTATTTCATCGCGTCTATCACGAGTAGTGCTCTGAGGAATTGTTCGGACTAATTCCCGCCACACATCGCGACAAAACTCTCGATACCATCCATACCATCTGGATGATTGGCGGTCCATTACTGTGCGATTTAGAAGAAGTTTTCTTCCTCGCACAACTTCCTTGTGGAATCATTTACCATACGACTTAGAGACCTTCAAGAAAAGAGCTTACTCCTTTTTAAAAGCCTGGCAACGCATCTGCAATTCCCCTGGTTCCCCTGGTGTTGCAGTTGTACATAGGCGGCGGTATTCACCTACCATCAGGTGAGCCGCATGCTCGTTTGCTCCCTATATATATAAAAAAAAAGCTAATACAGTCCGCATTATTCTTAGACAATGCATCTGCATTTTGATTTTTAATAGGTGTCTATAGGCCACAGCATCAACTTACCATCAGGTTGACTGTGTGATTGTTTGTCATCCTTATTCGTTATAAAATAAAAGTACAATGATATTATGTTAATTTTTATAATAAATTAGGCATATACCATGAACATTGCTATAGTATTTGTCAGCATCAATTTATTTTGAATAGTTCACAATATCACCTTATTTAGCTGTGCCCAACAGGGTCTATTAAATATATACTTTAAATAAAATTTTATGTATATTATGTATTAAAAGGAATACATTAAAGTTTTGATCATAAGTACTGAACTTGCAAGTCCCTCACTGCTTTTCATGATAATATATTTAATATGTATTAGATTAGATTGCAGTGGGCTATTTTTCACAACTCTACATTTAAGGCGCGTATTTTGAGGGTTTGAAATATTGTAAATATTTGAGCCATGAAATCTTCTCAAAGAAGTTTAGCAGGCTCATATTGCCGAAGATCTTGGGCGTCGTCCTCTTCGCGCCGAGATGCTAATAGCTGTAGGTGACGGCCTCCTGACACACCAGTAGCATGTGTGTCAAGAGGCCGTCATTACTTCTTCCATCACATGTCCTACATGCCCTGCACAGAGGACTGTTAAAAGAACCATGTCCAGTAACAACATTTGTTGCTAATAATCTGTTTAATATGATAGAATGCCCAATCTGTTATTTATGTTTAGTTTCATACCTTGGACCATTAATTGTAGGCAGGTTTTCTTTAACTTGCCTGCATTCTATATGTATATAGTATTTATGTACCAGTGCTCAGACATACCTACAGGGAATCAGCATAATCTGTTCTGGATTTGTGACACCAAGAGCCAATCCTCCTACTGCCAGTTCGCCAGATGTGCCTTTAGTTTTGGATTCACTATGGCCCTTGATCTATTGTATCATCATTACAGCCCCTCCCAAGTCCACTGCTGAACATAGACCTCCCCCAAAGAATGCCACAAAGCACGGTCCTGAGCCACCTGCATCCATCGACTTCCTGCATATCTTACCTGGTCGTCACTCCATCTAGTGGGGGGACGCTCTACACTTCGCCTGCCGGTACGAGGCTGCCACTCGAAAACCTTTCTTCCCCATCGGTTGTCGGTTCTTCGAGCTATATGGCCGGCTCATTGCCACTTCAGCTTACTAATCCGTTGGGCTATGTCGGTCACTCTGGTTCTACTGCGGATATCCTCATTTCTGAGTTTATCACGCAGAGAAACTCCGAGCATAGCCCTCTCCATAGCTCGCTGAGCGACCTTGAGCTTCCTCATCCGGCCAGCAGTGAAGGACCACGTCTCAGTTCCGTATGTCATCACTGGCAACACGCACTGGGTGTACAGTCTCGTTTTCAAGTTTTGAGGTATACCTGACGAGAAGATGTGCCGTAATTTACCGAACGCTGCCCAGTTGTACGCTATCCTTCCCCGCTTGCGGAAATGTATAGTTTATGAGTAATAATTTTTTTTGTAAAATCATAACCTCACTTTTTTACATAGGAATATTGACACAAAGCTACTTCTGTAACGGTTTCGGCGCTGCGGGAAATGCAGCCCCTTCGCCCTTGCGTAAGTAAATCGCAAGCATCCATGCTCACCTCCGCAGTTGCGGCTATTTGGTCGCCTTCAGCAATTGTCGATTTGCTACAGCGGGCGGGGGCTGCTCTCCCTCCGAGCCTACGGCTTTACAAAAACACTCTAGGGGTAGGGCATACAAGACTACGTAGATTCGGTGTGTTCTGATTAATTTTTAATACAGATTCGACCTATCTTATCTATAGTCAGGTTTCCCTAAACTCTGCTATGATAGTGGTAAATGAAACAATGTAATTTTAATTATTTAATTTATTTTATAGACATGCTTTATTGTAAACTATATTTCGTCTCCATAAATACTCTACTATCACATCTGTAAAACTTTGAGAATTATTATAATTTTGTTTTCTAAAAAACCTCTTCACTGCTCTCCACTGCGGCTCAATTCGTTGTGTATGAGTCCCATCTTCAGCCACAAATGGATTGTCTGGGTCTGAGTGGTTAACTTTTTTTATGTGTGTACCCGTGTTCTGCCAAACAATCTTATGCCCGCCAATAATCGGTATGAATTGTGGTACCCGCCGCCACATGTTTCTGTATAAGCGGCACCAGCACCTCAGCAGAGATAGGTCTGAGATCCTCAGACCCATCTTCTATCATACCCAGCACCCAGTGGCCTTCGATGTGACGTCCTATAACAAATAAAATTAATTTTAGACATTTAGTATGACAAAAAAACGTGTAAACATAATCATACTTATATTTACCCTTATTGTATTTTCGTTTTCCAAATTTGCTCTTATCAATTTGAACAATTTTACCAGGGCCACCAATCTTTCCAGAAAACTGATTTTGTTTCTCGAGGTAGTATATGTCAACTACATCTCTACAGTAATTGTACCAATCACATATTGTATCAAACATCTCTGTCGTTCATACGGGTCTTCATGAATTGTTTGATTATAAGACCATCCTTGTGAATATGCATATATGAGGTAATATATGTGGATCATATCAAGTTACATTTTCAAAAAAAGTCCCTTGTCGTCGTGAGATTTTAACTCCACTGCCTCCAGCTTTCCCCTTATAGGATGCTTTAGCACATATGAAAGTACCAAACGATTTGCAGCCACGAGTATGAAATTTTCATATTAGTTTTATGTTTGCCGCACTTTCGTTCCTTTAGGACCAGCCCTTCATCCTCACTACATCGAACACATTGCTCGTTCGTTCCAAGTTCGCGCACAATATCCGACAGATTCCACATGAATATAATCTCAGACACGTATAGTCGACGCTTCACATAGTCGCCGTCGTTAGAGAAGTCTTCGTCGATGTGTGATGGTTCCTCGTTAAATAAAGTAAAGCGTCAGGTGCCGAAGAAGGCCTCGCTACGAGTTCGTAATCGCTCATTCTCAGGTCCGGTAAGCAAGCCAAAGTCCAAAGTAAGGCAATCCAATCAAAACCACGAACAAAGCCAAGATCAAACGTAAGGGCAATCAAAAAAGTCCAAAAACAGAGCAAAAGTCGTCGAAAAAACAGGGAAAGCACAGCACTAAGCACAAAAGAGAACATTCGTGTGACTACTAGAGAAACGGAATGACAATTTACATTTGACATCATAGATAATATATTATATTTGACATTTACGTTTACCGACAACATGGCCGTCAACACCGTCCCGTTTCACACTTTTTACATCGGTTTTTGACATCTAATCTCATAACACTATACAAAATTGTCATATTTGCGTTTCGTTATACGGAATTTTTAGTGACATTTATTTTTATGGTAATTAATTAAAAACGCATTTCCGACATTCAAAAACAGTTTAAAAGGTTCATGCTTAGCCCTGACAAGCCTCCTAAACTGGAAACATAATTAAAATCAAGTACCGGATATCTATAGCCAACCCAAACCTTAAAACGAAATTGTACAACCAGTGCGTGTTGCCAGTGATGACTTACGGATCTGAGACGTAGTCCTTCACTGCTGGCCGTATGAGGAAGCTCAAGGTTGCTCAGCGAGCTATGGAGAGGGCTATGCTCGGGGTTTCTCTGCGTGATAAACTTAGAAATGAGGATATCCACAGTACAACCAGAGTAACCGACATGTCCAACGGGTTAGTAAGCTGAGGTGGCAGTAGGCCGGCCATATAGCTTGAAGAACAGACAACCGATGGGCAAGAAAGGTTCTCGAGTGGCAGCCTCGTACCGGTAGTTGAAGTGTAGGGCGACCCCCCACTAGATGGAGTGACGACCTGGTAAGACATGCAGGAAGTCGGTGGATGCAGGTGGCTCAGGACCGTGCTTTGTGGAATTCTTTGGGGGAGGCCTATGTTCAGCAGTGGACTTATGAAAGGCTGTAATGATGATGGTGATGATGATTTGAATATCCTATTTGTATAGTTGTGATTTGCATTTAGTTTGCTGATGTTATCATTTATAACCATATTCCACAGGAGTGGCGATAGGACTCTACCCTGTGGGCAGTCTTTCAATATAAACTGTACATTTGAAGAGCCTGTTCACTACCCAGTCAATTAGATACCAGCTCTAATTGCCTGTAGAGTGCAGCTTCTATGTTGGAGATTTTTTGGTTTAAGGCGCCTTGTCTTTATCTTGTTTTGAGAGGCTTCTTCAATCCTTCTCAATGTGTATTGTAAATAAATAATGATATTTTGTAAATAATTTAATATTATTTTTAGATGTGATGACTGATCTATATAACATAATAAATCCTCACACAAAGAAAAGGTCACCAATGATCTCAGATTTTCATTATAATATAATAATGAAGAATAAGGAGCGCCTGGACTCAGCAATAGTTTATGACAGAGATTTTAAATACAATTACTTTGGCTTTAAGACTTTGGAAAGATCATATCTCCTTAAAATTAATAACAAGGTTAGTATATACTTTATAAATTATTAGGTGTTTGCAATGTGGATGTTAAAGTGATTAAGTTATGTTAAAAATGAGCACACAAGGGTTAAGGTTTGACAAATATATAAATTTATATTAAATAATATAAAACATTGTTTTATATTAATTAACATTAGTGTATTTTGAGGTGTGTCAGGATTGTGCCAAATAGAAGTCTTTGTCGTCTCTATCTACCCCTCTGGGTAACAGTTAATGTTGTGTTATGTTAATGTTATAAAATGATACATTTCTTTTTCAGGTTGCTGAAAGACCACAACATATGCTAATGCGTGTGGCTATTGGTATTCATGGTGAAGATATAGATGCAGCAATTGAAACATACAACTTATTATCTGAAAAGTATTTCACTCATGCCAGTCCAACATTGTTCTCTGCAGCAACTCCAAGACCACAACTATCTTCTTGTTTTCTTATAGCCATGAAAGATGATAGTATTGAAGGTATATATGACACACTAAAACAATGTGCATTGATTTCAAAATCAGCTGGTGGCATTGGATTGCATGTTCATTGTATTAGAGCTAAAGGTACCTACATAGCAGGAACCAATGGTGTTTCTAATGGACTTGTGCCAATGTTAAGAGTGTATAATAATACAGCAAGATATGTGGATCAAGGTGGTAATAAACGGCCAGGAGCATTTGCGATATACTTAGAGCCGTGGCACTCAGACATATTCGAGTTTCTTGATTTGAAAAAGAATACTGGTAAGGAGGAGGTACGGGCAAGAGAACTTTTTTATGCTCTGTGGATTCCTGATTTATTTATGAAAAGAGTGGAGAAAGACGAAACATGGAGCCTAATGTGCCCTCATGACTCTCCTGGTCTTGCTGATTGTTGGGGTGAAGAATTTGAGACTCTCTATGAAAAATATGAACAAGAAAAAAGGTTTGTTAAACAAGTAAGAGCTCAAGAATTGTGGAAAGCAATAATCGAAGCACAAGTAGAAACAGGAACACCGTATATGCTTTACAAAGACTCCTGTAATAGGAAAAGTAACCAAAAAAATCTTGGCACCATTAAATGTAGTAATCTCTGCACTGAAATTGTTGAATACACTTCAGAAGATGAAGTTGCAGTGTGCAATTTAGCTTCAATTGCTTTAAACAGGTTTATCAATGAAGACAAAACTTACAGCTTTACAAAATTAAAAGAGGTAACTAAGATAATAACACAGAATTTGAACAAAATAATTGATGTAAACTATTATCCAGTGCCTGAAGCAAAGAACTCCAATATGCGACACCGGCCCATAGGTATAGGCGTACAAGGTCTAGCTGATACATTTGTATTGATGCGTATTCCATATGAAAGTGAAGAAGCAATAAAACTAAATCAGCAAATTTTTGAAACAATATATTATGGAGCTTTAGAAGCCAGCTGTGAACTTGCTGAAAAACATGGTGTTTATAGTACATATGAAGGTAGTCCAGCCAGTAAAGGCATTCTGCAGTATGACATGTGGGATAAAACTCCAACTGATCTCTGGAACTGGTCTGCTCTGAAAGAAAAAATTGCAAAACATGGCCTTCGTAATTCTCTTTTAATAGCCCCTATGCCCACAGCATCTACAGCACAAATCCTCGGAAATAATGAATCATTTGAGCCATTCACGTCGAATATTTATCAAAGACGAGTCTTATCAGGAGAGTTTCAAGTAGTAAATCATCATTTGCTGCGAGATTTGACGCAAGCAGAATTATGGGATGAAGATATGAAAAATCTTATAATTCATAATAATGGATCTATTCAAAACATAGAAAGTATACCAAAGGAAATACGAGATTTATATAAAACAGTTTGGGAAATTTCTGTTAAAACTACAATAAAAATGGCTGCCGATAGAGGAGCTTTTATAGACCAAAGTCAGTCTTTTAATATCCATGTTGCTGAACCAAACTATGGTAAATTAACCTCAATTCACTTTTATGCTTGGAAAATGGGCTTGAAAACGGGTATGTATTATTTACGAATTAAGCCTGCTGCTAATGCAATTCAGTTTACAGTTGACAAATCAAAAGTGCAACTTTTAAATGGAAGAACTGATAAAGATGAGGCTAACATGTCAATGATTGCATGCTCCTTACGAAATAAGGATGAATGCTTGAGTTGCGGTTCATAATTATAAGAATCTCATACAATTTATAATTTAAAAATCTTATATAATTACAGTAAAACCATTACAAATATATTTTTTTAAACTTAACAATATGACGATTGTCTTCAAATAATCACAATAATTTTTCATTTGAATTTTGTAAACAATATAATTTTATAAAAGTTCTGCAATAAACCAATAAATAGTCTTAATTTTTTTTTATATACCAATTTCTTAGAACCAATAATTTAGAAACTACACTAACCTAACAGCATAATAGACATTCATTTTAATTGACCTTCTGGACATAACCTAACATTGTTTCATGACCTTATCAGATAGAGCAGGACAGGCCACCGGTGAATCGAACGGGAGTAGCCATAGTGTTTTTTCCCGATACAGAACTATCCGTGTTTTATGTGGAGGGAAATCTGCGCACATTCTGTTACTACGAAACTATTAGTCTTTTCGTTAATCAACAGGCGACCGTATCTATATGTCAAAGGTAGCTGCGTGCGGCGTGCAATCGAAACAGAATTTGACATTTTGAAACGAAACGCCGTAGTGAAAGGTTCTTTGTTACCTAACTTGTGTTTATTATTTATATTCGTATTTTATTACAATAATCAAAGAATAAAATAGTATTCTATGCTTTTCTTAGAATACAAAAATATTTATTGAACAAACACAATAAGAATAATAAAAAAGGCAAAATAATAAGAGCGCCTCCGGGTGTACCCGACATTGTCTTAGTGAACAGACTATACTTATTATATACCCGTTCTATTTAAGAAGACATCTTTTATATTCTTTACAGCCCATCAGAAATTCACTGGTGTAGAAAGGTATATATATACTACCATATACCATAGATTGCCTCATAAAGGTGATGTTGCCATAGTTGTGACTCTACACTCAACATAAGAACAGCAACATTTATCAGCTATTTTACGCTGGTATTCTGTGAGGTTACGAATTGCCCAGCACAACCGAGGAGGACCACGGTGGTCCTTTTCGGTCGAACTGACCCATTCGTGGTGCGACCATAGCTGTAGCGTAGCTTTACCACGTTGAGAACCGCAGTTTTGTATTATTTTGAGCTGTAATCAGAAAAGCTGTTGGTTGATTTTGGGGTAGTGGAGACTTAGGCCCGCCACATACATACGGAATTCCGAAAGGGTCGGCCACGCACATACGTAATCCCGTTCTGCCCGCAAAATTTCGAACGGAAAAATACCGTACGTGTGTGACGGGTCATAGATTTTATATGAACTTGCTGCGTTCAGAATCTCGAAACGGAATTCCGTATGTATGTGGCCGGCCGTAAGTGCGTTCGTAGTAGTAGCAGGAGGTCTCTGTCACTCTTGCTACCTGCGTGAAATAATTACCTACAATCGCGAGGCGCAGTCGGGGCTAGGGTGTTCTAGGCGATTGAATGTTAAAGTTTTGTAACGCTGTTTACGTAAATAGTTTTTTCTAAATACTTGTTGAAATACTCGTCGAAATAGTCTTCGTTTAGTGTTTAGTATAATTGTAGGATAAAATAGTTGAAAGTTTTAATGTGATTTAAGAATAATATAAAATGTATGTTACCTATATATTTCATTTTACGGGGATGGATGCTTAATGAGCAAAGAAAAGGATTCAGATATATAATTTTTGAAGTTACCGAAGTATAATGAAAGGTGAATTTAGTAAATTTTTTTGTTAGATGGGTACTTATAGCGAAAAAAAATTGAGTACTAATTTAACTACAGAAGTAACACCTACGAAGTAGTACTTTATTACAAAAGTTGGTTGAAATTTACTTCACTACCTAAGTATCTGCTTACATACCTATATTAGTATTTTGTAATTAAAATATTGTACGTTATTATAACACAAAATACTAAAATTAAAACTGTTTACAACATTTTTAAATAAGCAGAATACGATCACATTTCTGTTAGGAATCGTATTTACCTACCAGTTATCTACCTATTTCTCACGAGCCAAGCATCGCTATTCTCGACGAATGGTCTTGCAAGTTGCATACTTTGGGCATCACAGAACTCACATAGTAGCGGAAATATGGTCGATCATAGTCACAATAGGTACTGTATCAACTAACTTACTTACCATTTCACAATCTTTAGTCTTGACATCGATAGTTCAACATCGATGTTCGATGTTTATCCTACTCAGAACATCGATGTTGCAGGCTCAACGCCTCTTTCTACATTCAATTATAAAATATTATTAAAACATATCTCTATTATTTAAAAATAAATAAACAGTATTATGAAGTGCCAACAAACTGGTTTTTATTATAGGTAATACATTATTTTGCAACAAGAAATATTCAACATTTTGGTGATCCTTTTTAAAGTCGGTAGCATAGAATTATTACGCATAGAAACGCAGTCTAGTACAAAACACGAGCGTTAAAATGATGCAAGGTCATTATGTTAGTGGGCGCGAGTCGAATGTGCCTACACTCGTCACACGCACACATACACGCCATTCAGTGATACCAGTTTCTGGCGTTTGCAATCAAATTGTGCAAATCACTATTTTTTATTAATTTTAAATAATCAATATAATAAAGATTACGTACGAAGATGTATTTTATGAGAATATAAAATGGAATAAAATAAACACGATAATGATGGTTGTTCACGCACCTAGCTGTCCCTACAAAGGTCTACCATACAGGGGCCCATACAGCTGTTAAGTTCGACGGACAACTAAGGACGGGGCCCAACTGGCCTTATGGAAAATGTCCTATCCTACTACACAATAGGGAGAAGGCTAGGTGAATAAAAAGTTCGTACCTGTTCAGAGGCGAAGAAGGCTCCCAGGGCTCGTTCAGGCGTTAATTGTCGTGAATGTAAAGTAGTGTGTGGGAAGTGTATATCTGTGTAACCTGAATTAGCCCTTTTATTCAGCAGCCACCCTGACTCCGGCACCGCCCCCCGGCGCGGTATTCTCCAGCGGCGGCAGCAATGGACTATTTCTTTCTTCAATTCACTATGTCAGTCTATCAATTTCATCGTACATTTAACTAACTTCAAGACGCAACTAAATCCCGTTCATTATAATCAAAAAACGTAACACGACGGATGACCGGTGGGTCAAAGTTCACTGATGTTCACTCCGCAAAAAAATTATTTCGAACACCGAACACGACCTTTTAAGGCGCTTAATTTAACGGTACAATTAGACACTAACATCTCAATAATTAGCCAACCTGGCGTCTAATGTTCTAGACTGCACAATTCTTCGTCGCTGCTCAAATCCGTTAACAAAATCGGCGCTATTAGAGGCAACCACGCGGCTCGATTCGACTCACAGCAATTTAAATATTGCAAAATGAACTTCAACACGCAATCACTAATAGCGAATTTAAACGCGCACGAATACTAAAATCTAGACCACCACTGAAACTGGTCGCGCGAAAAAACGCTGCAGCGGTCACTACAAAATATGTAGATTAACCGCACCGCTGCTCTGAATCTTTTGTGTCTCGCCCGCCAGCGCCAAACGCTGGGAAGCTGCCTTCTGCTGCCCCCTCCCCACAACGCACGTAACACCTGGTACCATCGGGCGATTCGCTAAGTCGAAAATGATTGGTTGGCGTCTCAAATGCCTATATTTGGCCAAAACAATGGTACTAATATAACTTTATTATACATATATTAATGGTACAAAAATGCAGACGTAATAAAATTTAAGAATACGAGGGCTGCACTAAAAGTATCGGGAATAGAATATTTCCACTGTTCCTGTCATATTAATTTTTTTTTAATTGAAAAGTCCTTGGTTTTAAAAATCAAATACCATTTATTTATTTAAAAAAAGATTCTCGGTTTTGTCACAAGGTTTTGTCAAACTTGTTTAGTCGTTGAGAAAATGGAATTGACTCGAGAAAATTCAAGAGCGATGATTTATTATGACTTTCGAAGTGGTATAACACAAAAACAGTGTGTTGACCGGATGATTTCTGCATTTGGTGATGAAGCCCCATCCAAAACCACAATTTATCGCTGGTTCGCTGAATTTCAACGTGGACGTGTCAAGCTCAGTGATGATCCCCGTCAAGGTCGTCCAAAAACTGCAGTCACCCAAGAAAACGTTGATGCTGTGCGTAAGCTGATTGAGGAAGATCGACATGTGACATACCGCGAAATTTAGGCAACTTTAGACATTAGCATGAGTCAAATACAAACAATCTTGCATGAACAATTAGGTGTAAAAAAGTTGTTTTTCCGATGGATACCGCATTCGCTCTGTGAAGAGCAAAAATTACTTTACGTTACTTGGTGCGTCAGAACTCTCGAAAGATTCCACGCAGGATCCTCAAATGCTGTATACAACATCGTATCAGGTGACAAATCCGGATATACGCGTACGAACCCGAAACAAAAAACCAGTCACGAGTTTGGGTGTTCAAAAATGAGTTAAAGCCAACAAAAATTGTTCGTTCATGGAGTATTGCAAAAAAAAAAATGGTGGCCACGTTTGTCTCCAAAACCGGCCATGTTACGACTATTCCTCTTGAGGGACAAAGAACGGTTAATGCAGAATGGTATGCTAGCATTTGTTTGCCACAGGTCGTTTCTGAACTCCGTAAAGAGAACTGCAACCGCCGCATCATCCTCCATCATGACAATGCGAGTTCTCACACCGCACATAGAACAAAAGAGTTTTTAGAGCAAGAAAACATAGAATTATTAGACCATCCGCCGTACAGCCCCGACCTAAGGCCGTAATTGTTTCTATACTTTCCCTAAAATGAAGAATAAATTGCGTGGCAGAGATTTTCATCACGTGAAGAAGCTGTGGACGCCTACAAAACTGCCATTTTGGAGACCCCAACTTCCGAATGGAATGGTTGCTTCAATGATTGGTTCCATCGTATGGAAAAATGTGTCAAATTTCACGGAGAATACTTCGAAAAGTAATAAATACATTTTTAAATAGTAATGTTGTGTCACTTCCTTGATTCCCGAAATTTTTAGTGCCGCCCTCGTATTATTAAACAC